CCGCCTTGGAAAATTAGCTCTCTTAAAATTGAGCGGTTTTCATTTTTCCTGTATGTGCTCGCTTTTTACAGCTAATAATAAATGAAATCATGTTATGGTCACTGCTACCCGGATGTTCTTTTATATGGACATTCGTAATAAGCTCTGCATGGTTTGAGATTACCAGGACCAGCAGAGCATCATTCCTAGTTGGGGCCTCTATGAAATGTACCATACAATTGTCCTGTAGTAGGTTTAAAAATGTTTGCCCTTTAACTGTTCCTGCAATACCATTACTGCAGTCAATTTCCAGGTAGTTAATATTCCCCATTATTATCACTGTCCCAGCTATTTTGATCTCTGCAAGGACCTGAGTCGCCACCTCCTGATTAACACTGGAAGGCTTATAGCAAACTCCAATGGTTACCTTTTGTAGTACGCACCCCCATGTGCATTTCCATAATTCTTCAGCCTCATCACACTATCCATCAACTAGTTCCTCTTTCACACTTGCTCTGAGATCACATAGAGACAGGCACCACCACCTTTCCTATTTACCCTGTCTCTCCGAAACAGGACATAGCCAGGAATATTATTGGCCCAGTCATGTGAAGAATGAAGCCAAGATTCAACAATACCAATTAAATCCTAGTCCTCTTCATGCACCAAAGCTTCCAACTCTCCTATTTTGCTTGGCAGACTTCTGGTTTTGGTGAACAAACACTTTAATGCATTGACACCTTGTTCACACGTATTTTGCATATATTTTATTTTCATACAAATGGTACCAATTCCACTGGTTGTTTGTAACATGGGAACCTTATCTGCCATAGCCCCCCCCCCCCCCTTACAATCTTACCCCATTCCACCCACCAGTAAGTACTGACCCCTGTCTGATCTGACTACCCTGTTATAATCTAATTCCCCCCCCCCCCCCACTCGATCCTAGTTTACAAACTCCTCCAGCCTTCCCATAAACCTCTCCCCTAGCACAGCAGACCTTCTTTCATTTATGTGCAAACCATCTCTAGCATATAGGTTGCACCCCAATGAAAAGTCAGCCCTGTGCTCTCCTTCCCTCTTACACCAGGTCTTCAGCCATGTGCTCTAGAAACGCAGGTCCTTCCCTCTTACACCACGTCTTCAGCCATGCATTGAGTTCTGTAATCTCCCCGTCTTTCCTGAGTTGCGCATGGCACAGGTAATATTTAAGAGAATATCACCTTGGAGGTCCTTCCCTTCAACTTGCAGCCTAGTTCCTTAAATTGATTCTTAAGGAGCCTCCACCTTCCATGTATTCTGTCATTGTTTTCAACATGAACCAAGACAGCTGGGTCATGCCAAGCCCCTCCCAGTAATTTATCAACATGGTCCACCACATGTCGAACCCTGGCACCAGGGAGACCGCAAACCATTTGGTTGAGGTGATCCTGGTGACAAATTATTCTATCAGTCCTTCTGATCATAGACTCCCCTACTACCACCAGTTGTCTAGGCCTTCCTGCACCTGCCCTCCTGGCTGTTAGGGATAGCAGTGACATCCAGGGCTGCCACCCCTGAGCTTGAACAAAATGTTGTGTACCCTGTAGTAGAGTGTAGCTGGCCATAGATGGAGCAATGTTCTTTCCTGCAACCAGGGTTGCGGGAAAGAAAATCGTTTGCTATCCCCATCAACACAGTGTTGATGGAGGAATCCCTCCCATGAAGCTATTGGTGTTCTCCTGGCAGGGAGAGCCGTCCCCACCAGGGGAAGAGTGACTACTGATAACTGCCACTAGCAATAATCGCATGCAAAATTCAACAGTCTAGTTGTACCCAAGTTGACCAGTCGATCAGCTTGGGTACATTCAGCCTGTTCAGTTCAGCATGGATCGGCCGAGAGTCGAACCGTCTATGGCCAGCTTAAGATTTCTACTGGCCTGGCCTGTGATGACCGCTTTCAGACACCGTGAAAGAAAAGGGATAGGTAAGAGGTTATATTTGCAAAGGTACTGATGTCCCTAGAAACTAAGAACTTAAAAGTTTTTTGAAAGTGCGGTTGTCCTTTCAAACAGATGCATTTCCAGCCAATGTTTTATTTATTTTTTTAATAGCGGGCAGAAGGGTTAAAACATCTGTTAGGTAGTTTCTTCTGTGTCCACAAAGGGAAGATAAGCGCATCGCCACCAAATAACATGTTGAGTGACCTATTAATAAAAAGTGACTATTTGGCTTCACAAAGCTCCATCAGGCAGTAGTGACCGATCCATTCCAAAGTGCCAAAAAGTCACCACCCTGCTAATATAGATTACAACTCTGTATGGAGTGCACCTGACCGTGGTTAGATAAGAAATATCTAAAAAAAATAAACACAGGCATTATTGCTAAAGGCAATACTTTTTTTTTTTTTTTAGTTGCGGAGATGGATTAAAACACCGGTCTGCCCCTGTTAGGGAGATTCACATTATTTGTCTTGTTTACCATTATTATTAAAAGTGAAAGTAAAAGAAAATCCTAAATTTTGGGTTGTCCCCAGAACAGTAATTGAGGGGAACTTGCAGGGATTTCCTCTTGCTTCCTGTTTTGGCTATGGGACAGGAAGCGAAGAGAAATCTCCCCAATGGAGTACAGCTGGCAAAAAAAAAAAGTCAGGAGTTGACCCCCCCTCCCCTTACTGTATCCAAAATGGGGGTAAAAAACATTTTGTCTGTAGTTCTACTTTAACCTTAAATAATTGAAGCATTGTCAAGTTTCCTTAACTTCAGCATTGGTATGTGTTCTACAAAATCTTTGGTCAAATTCAAAATAACCTTGTGGTCAATTTCACTAGGAACAAACATAGAAAGCAGCCACCTAATAGATGTCTGAATGTATCTTTGTCTAATTTAGAGGAACCCGGGGAATGCAAATTTTAACCAGCACCTGTGTATGACAACTCTGGCCCGCACCCTCCTGTGCCTTGCTTTGATTCTAGATTGCCTCCTTAACTGATGGGTGGGAAGGGACAGAGCTCCTGACTGCAGGAACTAGCAGAGATTTGTATAACAAAGTGTCTTGGAATTTGGGGCTCCTGGGATGCTTTGCAAGTTATATATGTGTACATGCAGAGACTGCTAGGTGCTTGCTTTCAATATATGCTGTCCATGTTTCACTTTAAAGTGACCCTTGAAATGTGTGTATTAGTCTTGTGGATTTGAGGCTTCTGTCTGCTTGTCATAATCTTCTGCCTCTCTTTAACTTTCAAAATGACCACAGAGTTGCGTTAAAGTAACACTGTTACAGATCTAACATCTCAAATTAAACTGTTGTAAAGAAGAGGTAAAATGCATAACTTTCCTGCTCCCTGCAGCACTGGATGAGAATCGCTCTAATCAGTAGAAATGGGCAACCAAAGTCTATCGGGATAGCAACACTTCTAGGAGTGTTGATCTCCTTGTTCTCTGGCTGCTCTCGTTGGGCCCTCCTGCGATTTTCCACTGCACTTCAGTGCAGGCAATAGGAAAGGTATGTGTTCAATCTCTTCTTTACAGATAACACCTTAATTTGGGATGTTAGATTGATGACCAGGTTACTTTATGCAGCTTCTGTCTAATATTTTCCATCACTATTCAGAAATAAAGGAGACTGAGTAACAGTAAAAGAAACAGTTCGTGTTACTTTCAATTTAAATATTGAACAATTGCTAACCTATTTCTGAAATTGCTGGTTGCCTAGCTTTAATGCTAATCCTCTGGCTTCAGTATTTTTAATTTTTGCCCCAGGATCCATATCAAGAATATTGACTGAAACAATTGAGTACTGTCCGTGATACTTTTTTTTATTTGCACTAACAAACAATTTTGAGGACAAGCTTTCCCGAAAGCTTGTCCTCAAAATTGTTTGTTTGTGCAAATAAAAAAAAGTATCACGGACAGTACTCAATTGTTTCTGTCGCAAATGCACTAATACGGCTACAATCGCCTCAAGCAAGAATATTGACTGAAATAGTTGATTTGTTTATTTTGAATCAGTGAATCAAAACGTGGAAACTGTGAAAGCATGATAGGCACCTGCCATTTTCAAAAAGAGGTCAACAGTTCCAGGCAATGTATTTATCCCATGAGAGACACATGGGGCTGCCATTGTCAATCCCCTCCTTAAGATGCTAGTACATTGATCAACTGGGTTCATTAAGATTTGAGTCACTTACCTGCATGCTTGTCCCAGGTAAGCCACATTGATGCAAGAGGGTAAATAGAACATCCGGGAAACTGGCATTAGCAGAAGGAGAGTTAACAGTGACGTCCGTCACCACTTTTCCAGTAAAGGTTTCCTTTAAGTTAATGCTTGTGACAGTATAGAATGATGGACAATGTTTGTTTAGCCAAGAGAGAGGAAAAAGATAAGAATAGCCTACTCACCTTAGATTCCATAAAAAAAACAGGAAACGACCAGCGGTCACTACTGAAGATTGTTGCCAATATGTTTCCTAAAAAATACATTAGGTCCCTCTCTACTGTAGGTAGTACTTGAAATTTATCTTACTGGACATGATCAAAACCATCTGTCAAGTTGAATCTATTGGTATTATTGCACTTAGGTGATAGAATGTGCACTTTGCCTTGCTTTACTGAATAAGTATTATGAACTGGCGCATACACTGTATAATGCGTATAGGTTTTGTTTGTGTACTAACAATTTATTTCTTTTGGCGAGGGGGGGGTGGCAGGGGGTGAACCTCTTTACTGCAATGTAGCCTTTAAACATGGAACCTGGCCAGTTGTTTAGTAGCTCTGTAAACATGGTGCTTGTTAAAAAAGCATGAACCATTAAGTAAGCCCTATTTACTCTGGTATGCCAAACATTTAAAACTGTGATAAATAGGATGTGCATTTTTTTATATAATGATCTCCCCCTTTGTATGTGTGTGGTATGTGTGTGTTTTTTTTTTTTAACTAAGGTACAGTATTTTATGACTTTCACATTCTGCAAGTGACACTGTAAGGCTTTGTGTTTGAGTGTAGGTTACTAATCAAGTAGTATTTCTTCTCTACACCCAACAGAGCATTATTTCAAAGGTGAAGGAAAGACCCTCAATGAGAGATTTGCAGAGTATCAGACAGGCACAGAGGAGCGCGTAGGCCGTCCAAAAAGTCCCGAGATACATAGGTATGTCTTGTACCTCTTCTTGTTAAAATGGAACTGAACAAAACATGATTTGCTATGTTATAGGAAACCTATAGAAGTGGTAATTGTGCCTAAACCATACCACAAGAACTGTACATTTTGACTTGAATTTCTCTTGAAAGATAGCAGTGCATTTCCTCATATGTGAGGATGCCTAGGCACTCCTGTGCCTACAGCCACATAGCTTTTATATCTGCAGTTTCATTTCTAAAGCACAGCTTCTTGTGGCTGCTAGTTTTAAAAGATTTGGTGATGTCATTGCTGTGCTGCCCACTAGTCTCAATGCTGGAGACTGACATTAGACAGTAAAACCTTGCCTCTACCAAGATAGTTGTCTCCGTATAGAGACAGTGCAGAAAAAGGCATGGTAAGTCCGTAATGGGAAAAAGGTCAGCTGCAGGGAGACCACAGACCATAATGGTGCCTAATCTTTTGCCCTAATTTTGCTTCCAGAATTCACTTCCTATTTAAGAAACAAAACGGGGCAATGCTCTCACATGCATTTTATACGATGACTTCATATTACACTAGTACATTATACTTTTGTCTTTCCCTGTTCATTCCACAATCATACCTACTTAATAGTGAGGTTTGGGCTGAACCCCGTTAACCATTGGCAACTAATGAAAGCCCACAAAAATGCAAGGAGAATATACAAACTCCAGACAAGTGTCCAGCAGTACAGTGCTTCAAGACAGGAGCCCTAGTCACAAAGGGCTGTGTGCAACTTTGTACATGATGTTGATAGTAAACTTGAAATATGTCTTCACAAATACAAATGTACCCCCTTTGGTTTTTGAAGGATCCGTCCACAAAGAGTGTGATTCTGTTGTGGTCTGGTGGGACTGAGTCAGCTGTTGACTGCTGATATTCTCTTGGGGTCCCCATCTCTTTGCCATAGTTGCTATCTTGGGATATGTCTGCTACAGCTGAGTTGTTTCCACACTTCCTGTTGCATTCTACACATCAAGATGAGAGATGCATCCAGTAACTGTGCAGAATTGGGAAATCAAGCATAGAGTCTTGCCACTGCAGTTTCCAAGAGATGTATGAAACTATAATTTTAACCCTTCAGATTCTCTCAAAAATAGCTTTGAATGGTAACAAGAAAATGCTAATTTATGGCATCCTATTTACATTGCTTGCTTAGCATCTCTGAAGGTAGATTTCCCTGATTTGGACCATGAACAGATGTAAAGTCAAATCCTGACTCGCTCTGCCCAAAACTTAAAAATATTCTCTTGAATGCCAATCTGATAGAGGAGACCAGGGTATATTATGAATAAATGTTGTTTATGTGAGTTTCCTTTTTATGTATCGGTTTGTTGCTGCAGGAAGATAGCTTTGTCTCCTAAGGTCCAGAGAAGACAGATTTGTGTTCAGAATGAAGATCAAACCTTGGTTGTAAAGGAAGAGCATGTAAAGGTATACATTTGTGCATTTTTCAATAAGTATGAGTCTGTTCATTTGACAGAGAAATAGCTTTGTATAGACCAGAATGCCTATTTCAAATTCATTGTATGGCCTTACTGGAAATTGTGCTGGAGGGCTAAAGACTATGGTCAGACTAGCAGTGTGATTAAAAAAAATATGTATTAAGCGTATTGATTAAAATGTATGGTTTTTATGTGGCAAATTTAAATAAACTGATATTTATGTGATCATCATCCTGAAGTTCTAAGAATTCTGTCCTTTCTCAAGGACTGCAGCTTATCTCTGATGTTCTCATCTCAAACGTTAGGCAAGACAAGCCATAGGCTCCTTTCACACAAGTGGTTCGGTCAGGTCCGCCTGTCTGTTTTTCAGGCAGATACGATGGGTCCCTTTATTCTTCTCTAGGGGTAGCCAGATGTAAATGGACTTGTGTTTGTTTACACCCAGCTACCTCCGATCTGGCAAAAACGAACAGAAGGGGGATCTGTTCCCCTCCACCTGTTTGGATCGGGGGCAATCGGGTGTAAATGGACAGCTGGTCTGTTTACATCTGATCTGACTGCCCACAGAGGAGAGTGGGCTGTGTCCGCTCCACATAAGCAAAGTGGACACGGACCTGCCATCTGGCAGCTCCGCTCGGCCAGGGGATTTGCGGGTATGAAAGGGGCCATAAGGTAGCCAGGAGGGTCTTTTGCTTACCTGCAGATTGCTGCTTCTTGGCCTTGGTGGTTAGGATCTTTGTGAGGTAGGACCCTGATTGACTGCTCCGTTCTTGATCCTTGCTGTTTTTCAGACCCCAAGGCAGCAATCTACTGAAGAGCAAAAGACCACGAAGCCCAATATATATTTGTGCAGCTTCCAGCAGTCTTATGAGTAGTTTATGGTTAGTTTAGAGAAGGAGAATATTTAGGTCTGTAGGTACTATATTTTACATAATTTATATTACTATAGTGTGTACACCAGAAGTGTTGCATAAGTATTTTAATGGAAAAGTGCCAATTGGTAAAGTTTAAAATTGTGGTAAGACAGTTATTGCCTAAATGGATGTTTTATTTGACCCACATGCCAGTCACCGTTTTAGATGCTGTGGCTATACAAGATAGTTTTAAAATTCAAACGCTGTTAAAAAACATCTGTCACAAATATGAGAGAAAACATAAACACTAGCCATAGAAATATTATAGTAGTGCCTGATATACTGTATCCTTCAAGCACTGCATTCCATAGTGACATGTTTACTACATTTTGATTTGTATATCATTTTGATTTGTTAAATACTCTAATTATGCTGAAAGAACAAGTAAAAGGAAAAATTTCCAGCATTTTTTTTTTTTTTTTTTAAATCCTCACAATATTTACAGGTAGAAAAAAAGCTAAAGAGACATGACAACTCAGCTGATGTAAGGAGTGACCGCAGGAAGGAGCACAGTAAAGATCGAGGGGAATCGAAATGCTCCAGGGAATCAAGTGATTCTCGCAAGCGAGAAAAGGTGCAGAAAGACCTAAAAGAATCTAAGATCTTCAAGGAAGAGAGGTAGGCTGACTGTCTTTCATACCAAAAACTGTAATGCTTTACTTTCTTATTCTAAAAGATTTTTTTAACGCCAACAACTACAATTGTTTGTTTTACAGCAAAATTGTATTTGTCTTTTACACGACTAATGGTGGATGAGGACAAAAACTTTGGAATAGCAAGCTAACTGAAAAAAAAATGACAAATTATTGTGTCCTATTATCCAGGCTACATCAGGAAGTTGGACTTCAATGCTGTGCATTTCTAGAACTCGTTTGTGTAAGAACTCTGGTTCGTTATGCTTGATTCCGCACTTTTTCCACTCATGACACCACAGTGCAAATACCCGATTGCTGATGTTTCTAAAATGCAATATATTCCAAAGAAGAAAGAAATGTTGGTGATGACTGCCTTGAAGAATAGCGATTGTGTATTCTGCACCTTATTTAAAGAAGTATTGCCAGAAGTTTAAAACCCTTTTTGAATCCTCAGTGGACTCAGTGTGCTTAACACTTGCCCCTGTTTGAATCTGTGTAGTGGCTTTGAAGTAAAATCTCCTTTATTTTCTGTCTGACAGTAGCTCCTCTCTGGGCTGAAACCCAGAGCTTTCTGACCATACTGCTCCGAAACCACAGCACAGATTTGAATGGGATTGTGCTGTGTGCACCTGTTCTCCCTATGAGGGTTTAGCAAGGATTTTAACTTAGGGACTTTCATAGACCATAAAAACCAGTTCGTATTTATTTTTGTGGTATTCCCTTTTTTATGATTTTCATTTAAAGATATACCGTATTTGAATGGGAACATTGTCTTAAATTTACAGAATTATGGGGTAAAGGTGGTTCATCATAAGGTTAGACATATATTTTATACTGTGTACAGTTAGTATGATAGACTTCAGGATCCATAGATGCTGGGAAATACGGTGTACAGAAAATCAAGAATTTAAGGGGAACAGTAAGGAAATTATTATATCAGCTGACTTATTTATAAAGGTGCAAGCTTTGGGGCTCTCATCCTTATCCATTAACTACTCAAGAATATTAAACAAGCTTGTGCATATCAGTTGTTGGGATAATTTATAAACATATGCATGTTACAGAATAGTAAATAAGTAGTAAAGGAAGGATTAGGTTGGCGGCCCTAGAACCTGTACCTTTTTAAAACGTCAGTCTTTGATTCCTGACTGGATCAATTTTAAATTACACAGCTCTGAACTTAGAGCATTTTTTGCAGTAGGTAGTAATGAGCTAATGGTCAAACAGTATTTTAAGATGGGTTCTACAAATTTTTGTAAAATCTAGTGTTGGTGCCAGTGGCCATTATGAAATGGGCATCAGTTACCTGCCTCCCAGGATTTGTCTAACCCTATAAACTGCACTTCCCCTGTCCAATGAGTGTACTCATATAGGCAACTGATTACATTATGCCTTGGAACGGTCCCTATTTTGGAATGAAATCACTTTTTTCCTTCTTTCCTCCTCAGTTGACCCTCATCTCAGTCTGATGTAAAGACATATATAAATATTTACTAATTAACTCCCTAATGTGTTAAAATACACTAAGTATGACATTCAGCCTCTAAATTATTGCATTTATTTTTGACAACCCAGTATAAAGCATAGAAGTGATCAAAAAATATTCTTTGGGTTCTGCGTAACTGGGGTCACGGCAGAGGTGGTCTTTTTGTCTACATACTTTGAGATGAAAAAGATGAACTCCTTTTAGTACAAAGTAAGGAAGTATGTGATGTGAATAGGAAAAAGCGCTCTCATTACTCATATTTGGAGCTAGATTCACCTGTGCATTTAAAGTAAGGGCTAGTCTACACCACAATCCCTTTGTTCAATGTGTAGTTCCACGTGTGTATTTGTATGCACTTGAAATGTGCATACAGTGTGTTTTCAGTGCATATTAGGGGGGGGGTTTACTTTGCATTTTGTGGTGTGGTTGATGTGATTTTACATGCAAAAAAATGCAGCATTCTGTACTTTTTTTTTTTTTTTTTTGTAACATCTGTGTGGAGGCAAAAGGGTTTATGTTACAGGGTGGCCAATGTTTGTGTTGAGAGCATGCTCTCAGCACAAAGACCAAGCTGTCAAAGTTAGCTATTGGTCCAGACAAAAGATTGGAAGGCAGTGGGACCGGATTCTGATCATTTGACCACTGTAACATGATCACCAATCCCCCCCCTTCATTCAGCAATATTTAAAGGGACCCCCTGAGTGGGAAAGGGTCAAACGTGCATGAAATTACCACAATGCCACAACTAGCCTCATTAAAAATATATAAAAACATTTTTTTGCATATGCATTCATACTAAGTCTATCAAATATGACATGTTCTTGACTGTAAGTTGGTTTTATTGTGTAAAAAATTAAAAATCCAGTTTGAAGAAAAACCTCCTCCATCAGGGTTAATTGGGAGCACAAGAATAACAAAATAATGGTAATGAAATGGAGATTTGAACCCAGCCTCTCAACCTTTTCAAAATGTAACCCTTGAAATAATTTTCTGGTCTCAGAAACTCCTGCTAATTGCTATATCTGTAGCTCATGGTGCGTTAGTGTGATTGTCACTAGGGGAATACTCCCTTATAAACAGCTGAAAAGATAAATGGTGCCAGTGGTTACTTGTCTGGTAGGCAGGAATTGTTCAGTGCTCAAGGAACCCTTAATAACTGCAACCCAACAAGAATTAGCAGAAGTAAATTTAAATGTCAATCACAAGAAAAACATCCTCATTTTCAAAGTATTTCATGAATCTGCTTAATTGGCTGCCAAGGTTAACCGGTTCCCCACCACTCTGTAGCAGAACTACTGCTACAGGGTGGCAGGGCTGCGCAAAATCACGTGTGTGTATATACGTGATTTTGCATTTCCGGGTAGGGGGCGCATACGTGCACCGTGCTACCCACGCAGCCATTGGCGGCTACAGCTGTCGATCACTGGGTCCCGGCTGGAGATTCCCCCACAGCACCCAGCAATTGCCGAGGAACAGTGAAAGGGGAGAGTTCTGTGTGTAAACAACACAATCTCTCCCCTGTCAGCACTGACATGCTGCTTTGTATTACTCTGCATAGCATGTCTGCTTAGTAAAGCACATACAGTAAAACAGCACACAGTTAACCGGTTGATTGCCCCAGATATTAACCCCTCCCTGCCCAGTGTCATTCGTATAGTGTCAGCCCCTTTTTTTTTTTTTTTTTTTCTTTAGCACTGATCACTGTATTAGTACCATTGGGATGTCAGTGACAGTCGTGGCCCCCCCCCCACTGTCATAATGCCCACTGCAGTCCTGCTATAAGTCACTGATTGCTGCTATATATTCCGCCATTTTGTAGGCGCTATAACTTTCACGTAAGCCAATTAATTTACATGTATTGCGATTTTTTTTTTTTTTTTTTTTTTTTTTTTTTTTTTTTTTGAAAAAAGACATGTAACAACAAATTTTGACCTAAATTTATGGTGAAAAACACACACACACACACACACACACACACTTTTTTTGTTTTATAGCGCAAAAAGTAAAAACCGCAGAGGTGATCAAAGCAAGCTCCATTTGTGGGGGAAAAAAGGATATAAATTTCATTTGGGTGCAGTGTTGCATGACTGCGCCAGTTAAAATAACGCAGCGCCATATCACAGAAAATGGCCTGGTGAGGAAGGGGGGGTAAATCCTTTGGAGAGCAAGTGGTTAATGTAAAGGTCCAATAATGACATAGAGTGCAAAGGTTAGCAAATGGAATCTGAGGTACTGCTTAGCCCTTCTATAGAATCTTGCAAAGTCAGCTTGCAATACTTGATACAGCATGCAGGATAAACTGTACAAAAATATCTGCACACTTCTTGTCACCAACAATGTTGCAATTTCTGGAGCCGCTTTCAAATTGCACAGGAAGATATATGCTAACCAGTTTAATTCAGAGTGACACAGCTTGCAGCTTTAAAATTGATATTTGCTCTAGGGAACACCATTTGCATAGCATGCCTCTGACAGCCAGGGAAGCACAGTTTTGGTATCATTAAATCTAAATGATGATTTAGGAAGCAGGTTGTGAAATTATTTCACTGGCTTGTCATTGGAAAGCAGAACTCCAGGAAAACTGCTAAATAGAGTAGAACTTTTCAGATGAGTGACCTGACTTTTCTCTGCTACATTGAAGTAATACAGCTTGATCACCTTCTGGCCTTCTAATTAAATGCTGAAGGAGCAGCACAATAAGTCACTGTGCTCACTCTGCTCTCTTCTGTCAGTATTGTCTTTATCATCACATGTGCGTGCAATACAGTTGTGATGCAGCAATGCATATGTTGAACTTTTTACTGTGGTCTTGCACCCCATTTATTTGAACTGCCTACCACATCAAAGAACATTCATAAATAGGCAGGTAAAAATATATTGTAGCACCAGTACTGGAAAACAATAAAGGCTGTGCTCTAACCTGTTATATAACTTGTTCATTTATTTGTGTATTTATGCAAACTATTTTATTTACTCAGGGCACAAATTAGGTTTAGTTACTGGAGTTCAATTAATGGTTTTGTGAATTTATATTTGCATAAATCTACCTTTTTTTGTTTTATGTAGTTTTTTTTCCACTTTTAAGATTTGCTTTTGTATGTATGTTTCCTTTTCTATTGCAGCAAAAAGAGAAAAGAGAATGAGCCCTCTCTTTCTCTATCAGATGATGAGAAGGACAGTAAGAAGGAAAGCAGGGATGAAGAGTTTAAAGGTCCCTTGGAGCCCAAAGAATATGCAGGTTTTCAAGGAATCAGCAGGCCCAGAGGAACATTTGTAAGTTGACAAAAAACCTGTTATATTGCTATAAAGGCTTAATATACAAATGAATGCAGTATTGTGAATTCATAGATATTTTGCGATCTGTAAACTCAGTGGTAAGGTAGATGTGGGCATTTCAGACAATTATCTGCACATGCTTGTTTCCGTTTTCTGTAGTGAGTGGGTAGAACACTAGTATATGTATCAATCAGGTTATATATTTAACTAAATTAGTAGTGCAGATCATTAACGTCAAGGTTTGTGAAAACAAAACCTAAAATAGGGACCAGTGAGTTCGGGACACTTCAGCTGCACCCTCCTTGGTTAGCTTGCTGTCATGCAGAGAATCTATTTCTGACATTGCTTGGAAGACAAACCATTCATACTAATACACAGACTGTGTGCTTTGTTGCAGCCGTAGCCTGTAGTGATGGATAAAACTGATTCCTGTTAAGATTTTAGGGGTTTTGTAAATGTGTTCATGTCACACAAATAACGCAGACAGGTGTTTTTTTTTTTTTTTTCCCCCTTTTTGTGGAAATAAACCATCCAAAGTGTGCTCTAAAAGCCAGGGCACACGCATGTGCAGTTCATAAAAGGGAAGGAGACAAAACGTTCTAAACCCAATCAACCCAAATTAAAGTGCCATTGAACCCAAAAACCGAAATGTATCAGATTGCAACTTACCATTTCTTAGATGTGGTTGAATGTTCTTTTTTTTGGAATTTTTCATTTGGTAATCCTGAAAATAGCACACTTCCTGTCCCTAGATAGTTTTGCTTTCTCCTCCACTGTTGACTTGAGGGGATCCTTCTGTGCTTTTTAATAAGCTCTTCAGGAAGTGACAAGTGTATTTCTTGCAAGATCCACAGGAAATGTCTGTATTTGCTGAAAATGTTTTTGACCTTAAAAATACTAATGCTGCCACCATGTCGAAGGACTGATAAGTGGCAATATATACATTTTTCTTTGGCTCCCACCTCTGCTGGCGTGAAGTAGTGTGACACAAACAGGGGCACATGGAAAACAAGTAAAACAAGACAAGTAGCTGGAAGGCACTGAACTACTGTGTGGAGACATGAATGAAGTATTTTTGTGCACTTCATGTTAAAGCGTAAACAATGTAATGTGCTAAAACACAAATTCTACTGCACTCTCAGCTAGGCTCAATGTAGCAAAAAAAACAAAAAAAAAACCTGACAGCTGCCTGCGCATTAATATAAAGTGTTTAGCATGTGGGCAGTGTGATTGAGCCCCCCATACATCTGGTACAGATATATTCATGTTTCGTATGCAGATTCTCTGTTTTTTGCAGTGTGGCTGCAGGTGTTGGGGAGAAAAAAAGTTTGCCAGCACCTGAGCTCAATTTAAAACCAGCTGGCAGGAGTTTAAAGTGATAATAAGCCTAAAAACATTTTTACCTAATGCATTGCCTGCATTAAGGTAAAACACATTTTTAAGTTCCTTGTGTGATGCGGAAAAGAAGAGAGAAGAGATCAGCGCTGTGCATGGCTGCATCTCTTCTCCCCTCTTCACACAGGGACTCTTGACAGCAGTAAGAGCTAATGGCTCCTGCTGCTGTTCATCAAGTGTGATAGAGGAAATTGGGGGGCTGCTGTTTGTGTCTATGGAGCACGGCTCCATAGACGCACAGCTTGGGAGTGAGCACGCAGCATTTGTCCCCGTAGCAAGCTGCTTGCTATGTGGACAGACAAAGAGGAGGAGCCAAGATCGCTGGTGGGGGACCCGAGAAGAGGAGGATTGGGGCCACTAGAGCAGGCGAGTATAACATGTTTGTTATTTTAATAAAAAAAAAAATCGGCCTTTAGTAACACTTTATTTCCTTCTGAGCCCTGTTTAGTATGCTCACCACACACCCCTTACCATCTGCCACCCCTCTACATACACTGTATAAACATTTTAACTTTTTTATTCAGCATTTTTTTTTTTTTTAAATTAAAAAAGGAGAACTTCTGAATATTCATACACAGTAATCTAGAATTGTTCCTATCTAGTTGAAGAGGTATTTCAAACATGAGTTAGACATGTGTAAAATCCTAGATAAATAATTTAACAATCTATGATTAAGGGAAAGTTCACACTACTTGCGTTTTCAGTGTGCTTTTTTTTTCTGCATCCAAAACGCACAAAGTAGGTCATATGGTTGTCAATGTCCTAGTTCACATCAGTGCTTGCAGTTCCAATGCGTTCCGGATGCAGAAAAAAAACAGGCTGCATTCTTCCTGTACAGAACTGTACTGGAACGTGGTAAAATGCACTGGAACACACGTCCCAATTTAAATTCAATACAGGGGGAGAAAAAATGAACTGGAACGCATCAAAAACGCACATGCAGAAACACATCCGGAACACATCTGGACTTTGTTTCTATAGTGTGAACCGGCCTGAAGGGTCAGTTCACACTATAGAAACGCAGTCCATATGCATTATTGTGTTTTTTTTTTTTTGTTTTGTTTTGTTTTTTTTTTCTGTATCCGGAATGCACTGGAATGTCAAGCACTGATGTAAACTATGACATTGACAACAATATAACCTACTTTCTGTGCATTTTGGATGCAGAAAAAAGGCACACTGAAACGGATAAAGTGTCAACTGGCCCTAAAAGTATGAATGTAAACAGTGGCTGCTTTAACCTGTGTGTATAATGATAGCTTCCAACGCACTGACTCCAGCAAAAAAGTTAAAGTACCATACTGTTTATTTTCATATCCTTTTCTCTTAGATTACTTTTTATGTAAACCTATATTAGAAATGTCTGCTTTGAGGGCTGGTTCACACTAGAATGGCACAGGAACACGGTCCGCATTCGTGCGCGATTTTCAGCCTATTCACTTGAATAGACTGCAATCACTCTGGATTGCACCAAAAAAAGTGTATGCTGTACTTTAAACAACACACTGCAACCAAGTCGCATGGTACTGCGGTACCATGTGATCCGGTACAGGCAAACACACTGTTTGCAATATGCATTTGGGGGGTTTATAGGAAAACATTGACACCCACACAGATTGCACACCCAGTGTGTTTTGAATGCGGTGTGAGAAATTCGCATTCCGTGGGTTCTGGTGTGAATGGGCACTAAACAAAAAATAGCCTTTTTAAAAATTTCCCATCTTTGCTTGTGAATGTTGGTAATGGTAGGTGGCCTTGAAAGCAAAGCTGCAGGTTCACTAGAGTACTTCCCTCCAGCAGCATAAACTGTCCTTTCTTCACTCCCTGATTGCTCCATTTAGCCAGTGGGAGCAAAGAAAATACTCAATACTTCCAAGAAGCAATTGAATCACTCCTGTTCCTCTTTTTGTTGAGGCGCTGTCTCATGCGGTTAGGGAGAGAGTCCTCTGCTCTGTGAATGCTCAGAATATATAGTGATTTGGAGCTTAAAGCGGAGCTCCAGTCAAAATGTAAAAAAAAGTAAAGTCAGCAGCTACAATAGCTGAAGTTGCTGACTTTGAAAAAATAAACACTCCACCTGTCTTTTGATCCAGCAGGGTAATTGCCACAGCCGGACTCACTGGCCATCCTCTCATACCGGCATCGTAAGTGTGGCACCCGGTTATGACAGCTTACGGCGGCGCTACACCTTGTGAACTGTCCCGTAGTCTCCTGGGACCTGTCGCATGTCCCAGAAGACTACAGGGTGGGGGACAACAATAACCTCTGCTGTAATCGTTTGGAAGCGGAAGTGGGAGCAAGTACCTGTCAAATTCGGGTACCCACTGCTCAAAGTTGCTAATTCTTCACAGGGAGTGAGGGATGAGGCCTTAAAGCTGGGCTTCCCCTTTTGGGTGGAGCTCTGCCTTAAATACTTCAGGACACCAAATATGAAATGTTCTAAAAAAAGTCAACAAAGTTTCTAGGATGTATCTTCTACAACTTGCTCCTCTCCCCCAGCTAATAATTGCCATATATTACAAAGCAGGAGACTGTCAAAATGTTCCTGTGTAAGTTGACACTTGTAAAAGGTCTGAAAGTATTTACGGTTTTATTCATATGTAAATCAAATGTGTAACCATTTTTTTTTTCTCTATAGATGCCTTGAAAATAATTTTTTTTCAATAAGAAAAATGTAATTGATATCTTAAAGCCAAGCACCATAAAAAAAACTTAAAAAAAAAAACAAAAAACCTGCCTACACTGCAAGGGTTCACAGGTTGTTTATGTCTAGGGCGGGTGTCGGCAACCCGCGGCTCCAGAGCCGCATGCGGCTCTTTTTCATCTTTGCTGCGGCTCCGGAGCACACTGCCCACCAGGTGACAGGCAATAGGGTTTCAGTGGTCGGCAAGCCGCGGATCGCAAGCCACATGCGGCTCTTCTGTGTGCCGGGCGCCCGCTCCCCTCCCTCCCTCTCGGGCGGCCGCCTCAAAAGTCAGGACTCTTTTAATCCGGCCCGCAGAGCGTGGAACATTGGCTGTCAGGATGTAGGCGGGGCAGCCAGGATGTAGGCGGGGCAGCGTGACGAACTCCTCTCCTCTCACAGTCTGCCCTGAAGACCGGAACACAGCGCGGGAACACAGCGAGAGGAACGCGCGGAGCAAAGGTAAGTGAATTGAGACAATATGGGGGATGAATTACTATAGGGGGGATGAATTACTATAGGGGGGATGAATTACTATAGGGGGGATGAATTACTATGGGGGATGAATTACTATAGGGGGGATGAATTACTATATGGGGGATGAATTACTATGGGGGATGAATTACTATGGGGGATGAATTACTATGGGGGATGAATTACTATGGGGGATGAATTACTATATGAGGGATGAATTACTATAGGGGGGATGAATTACTATAGGGGGGATGAATTACTATATGGGGGATGAATTACTATATGGGGGATGAATTACTATGGTGGATGAATTACTATGGTGGATGAATTACTATGGGGGATGAATTACTATATGGGGGATGAATTACTATATGAGGGATGAATTACTATAGGGGGGATGAATTACTATAGGGGGGATGAATTACTATAGGGGGGATGAATTACTATATGGGGGATGAATTACTATGGGGGATGAATTACTATGGGGGATGAATTACTATAGGGGGGATGAATTACTATAGGGGGGATGAATTACTATAGGGGGGATGAATTACTATAGGGGGGATGAATTACTATAGGGGGGATGAATTACTATGTGGGGGATGAATTACTATGTGGGGGATGAATTACTATATGGGGGATGAATTACTATATGGGGGATGAATTACTATATGGGGGATGAAGCTAACTGCACGATCCTGTATATAGCATTAAGGTAAGAAACAATATATGCAGTGTCGGATTTGTTTTAAATGTTGCAATGGTTTTGCGGCTCCCAGTCTTTTTTTTCCCTTCGGAAACGGGTCCAAGTGGCTCTTTATGTCTTAAAAGTTGCAGACCCCTGGTCTAGGGGATGGGGTAAAGCCTTTTTACTCACGCTTTTACTCACCCTGTCTTCCGCAGGCTCTTTCGTGCTGCTAGAGCAGTTCCATCAGCCTCTTTCCCCTGCACTCTAGCAGTCTTGGGTCCTCTGACGTTATAAACATCAATGCAGGGACCATAGACCTGCACTGGATGTGAGGGCAGAGGGAGCCAGTGCACTGCTGGAGCGGAGGGGAGCACTGTCTGCTGAGGAAGCAGAGGTCGCCTAAGCTAAACATGCAGTTAATTGTTGCAGTGTGGGGGCAGCACCACTGCAATGGAGGACTTTTAGGTTCTCGTGGTTTAGCTTTAAACAATAGCAAAGTTATCGCCAAATAAAAAGACCCATAGTGCAAATGTAAAAATTGCTTAAGGTGTGAAAAGGTACAAGAGGTGAAGTGGTTTAACAGGACTGACTGACCTGTCTCCAAGTGGCTCCATGGAGCCTAAGTACCACTACCACTCAGTACAGTGCTCAGCCAGAGCCTTAGACTTTGACAGGCTGCCTGTGGTGGGGCTGAATGCTGCGATCTGTTCCCTCCAGGCGCACTAAAATGCTGGAAGAGACGCAATGGGCAGCCCTGTGTTTAAAGGACCCAAGTCTGTTGACCAGGGTACAGGTTAGCGCCATGGTAACTTTACACTGGTTTTGTTTGCTAAAAATTCAAATGGCGTTTCTTTTCCTTACATTAACTTTTGATTCTTGCACAGTAAATGCAAATGTCCTCCAGATTATCCAACATCATCATTTCAACCTGGGGATCTATCCAGAGTAGGAATATTTTTCTATACAATCTATGGCTGTAGTGAAAGGCAGGATAGAGTTATAACAGTTCTGTTCAAGCTTCTGTACTCATGATTTCAATACTCCTGAAGTGTTTACGTTTTGCTTCTATGCTACACTCCTATGGAGAATTGGAACTCCAGGAGCTCCTGGACCTAACAGTGCACCTTGGCTGTCACTGACAGCTGGATGGAGGTTTCAGCACTGGTGCTGGCAGGGTCCCGCAGGCTTCCTTGAGACTGTCTTTTTAAAAATCTGCTGGGACAAAAAGCCACTATTCCAACGAAGGTTTAAAATGATAGCTGAGACTCGAGTGGTTAAGCTATCTTCCAATTAAGCTGAATCATGCAAAGTGCATTTGGAAGTTGCAGAGCTGACCTAAGCAGGAGAAACGCAATAGAATTATGTAGTACAAGCATTACTTGCAGTGTGCAGAGACGTATCCAGCTATACAAAATTGTTTTCTATACACAGAAGTTACTAGTGTTTCTATTTGAAAATTGTTATTAAAAAACAAAATGTATCTTCTTTTTTATTTATTTATTTTTTTTTGCTTCAAGCAAAAAAATGCATATTTTTAAATTCATCATATTAGTGCATTGATTTTGTTTAGTTTTTTATTTTAATATTTTTTTTGTCCTTTTGTCAACAATTAGTATTTTGTTTTAAATCAACCAAACTTGCCTATGCCCATTTTGAACACTCCGCCAATTAAACCAATTGTTTAGCAGTTTCGAATTAGAGGCAGAGGTCGTGCACGTGGGGTGTTTGCTGGGACAACTGCTGCTCCTGTGAATACAACGCCAAATTTCCAAAAGCGTCCTAAAGAGGAGGAGTGGGATCCAGAATATACCCCTAAAAGCAAGAAGTACTTCCTGGTGGGTGTTTGAGGCTTTACCTTTGCATGAACAGACTAGCCACAATGCAGTGCGTTAATATCAGATGAGCAGCTGTCTTGGCTCAGGCTTTAATAAAACTAGAGGGCAATAACTTTGATATGTATTTATGAAAAGTATTGGATTGTCCAGCTTCAAGCTAGTACTCATTGAAAGGATATGATCAAACATTTTGGGGGAGAAAAACCTTGGTTTCAAATGGTGTCCATATCAATTTTGTGTAAGGAACCTTTTTTTTTCTTTTAGCATTTGTTACTAGTAAAAATTTAATATAAAATGCATTGTTTTGATTTCCTATTGCTGACACCAAAAATGTTAGATATTCTGTTCTTGGCAGTGCAAAATTTTAATAAACACTCCTAATCTTAAAGCCCAAATTCATTTTAAATCGGCTAAATACATTCCATGTGCATCAAAAGTGTTCAGTCATTGTTTTCTTCAGAAACGGTCTGCCCCTTGCCAGCATGCTGCGGACAATGACCCTTGATCTCTGTGCAGAAGCAGTGACCTATCTACAGAGGTGTGACATTCCATATGTTAGAGCTCTCCAGTCAGCAAGGAGCATGAGCCTTTTCTCATTGCAAAGCTATTATGACTCAACGGGCATTGTGTCAAGCCTCTACAGTGAGACCAGAGCTTCCAGACAGAAAATAAAGGTTGTTCTTTGCCCATTCCAGTAGGGGGCAGGCTTTTCTGTGCAACTGTGGCTGCTTTCTATTGAAAAAAAATGACTGAACATCTTTTGTTTTGATTCACCTGGTATATATTTGATACTGATTTAAACTGAAAGTTCAGCTGGGCTTGAAATGATAGTTTAATCTTGTAGATGAAGTGGTTTTTTTTTTTCTGCTACAAATGCTTAAAAACAATTAGTGCTTCTGTTGTGTAAAATATACAGAAATCTACGTTAGTGAACTTGACTGTGTGCTTCACAAGATTTGGATGCATGTTGTAGGCCTTATATTAGTCTGCATATTAATCTGGGTTTGGCTTGTTCATCTAGCATGATGACAGAGATGATGGAGTGGATTACTGGGCAAGGAGAGCAAGGGGTCGTGGCAACTTCCAACGTGGAAGGGGACGATTTCCCTTCAAAAAGTCTGGAAGCAGTCCAAAATGGACCCATGACAAATACCAAGGGGATGGTCTTATAGAAGATGAAGATGAAGTGTTGGAAGACAGGCGTAAGGAGGAGAAGGTGGGTTATCGTGTGTTCCTTTTTTTTTTTTTAAATTAAGATTATTAGGGATTTTACAGTTTTACCATACAGAACAGTGCGATTTGTACAAATTACAGCACAAGCATCTCCCATAATCAAGGTCCAGAAATGTATGTTGGTCCACCGACTGCTTACATTTGTATGTCCTAAGTCAACAAAGGACAATTGTAAAAGGTGCACTGGTACGCTGTAACGGGGATCCGTACTGAAGGCAACATTTACTTTTCTGTGATAAGAGATCTAAAAAGCAGGGACAGATATAGATCAAAGAGTAGAGAGGATGTAGGGAAAAGGAATACAAGGTTTAGGAAGGGAACTAAGGGTGGGGAGGGAGTGGTGCCCAGACCAATGAGGAAAACGGGCTACTATCATGAGCAAGGCATCAAGGAGTAGATTCCACCACTAAGTTTGTGGGGAAAACATTTCTTGGCACTAAAGCCCTAGTACAGTAATATATTAAGGGTCTCCAAATCTAAAATTGGTCTTGATGATCATATAGGTTTGCTGTTAGTTCCTTCATGCATTTCAGATATGTTATGAATGTGTGCTGAGATTTTGTTGGATCCTGCAGCTGCTTGTAAGAATGAATTGCTGTTTTTCTTAAAGCTGAACTCAAGGAAACTGGGAAAAAAAAAACCCTTTGTACTGGGGCTCCCCTCGCACTGCAAGTATTACATTTTCGTTTTTGCCTGTGGTACAAGGAAAAAGGACATCTTACCTTATCCCTCGCTCCCACAGAGTTGTCCCCCAAAACATCTTTGGTTTGGCAGACCAGCTGGTGATGGCATCAGTGACATCGTGTACATTGCAGGGCTCACAGTCGTCCATTGCAAGTGAGGATGCCGAGGATGCCTCTCCAACCACATGGAGAGAAATGACCGCCAACTGCCTGAGGAACTGGGGATAAGGTAAGTAAGAGTCTCTTCTTTATCATACTGTACAAGGCACAGGCTGTCAATCATATCGGATTGGTTATAAGCTGCACCTGCAGATGATTGGACACTGGCAAAGCTACTCAAAACGTTAACTCTTCCTCATATAGCCCCTCCCACCATATGATCCTCACGGTTTTACTATTTCTCTTTATTTGATGGAATCATCTTTCTGTGGGAGAAAAGGTAGCTTTTAGTAAGAGCAGTGCCAGGCCACTGTGACAGAAGATGTTAGTTTTCTGGATCAGTATCCCCAGCTTCATGCCACGTGGACTGCATCCAGACAGCTCACAAAGATAGCAGCGGGGCTGGCCTGTAAAACTGCGACTGCACTGGACCCAGCACACAGGAGATACATCTGGGTACCTGGTACAGGCGCATCTCCCCTGATTTTACGCTACAGGTCCAAGGCCAATGTTACAGACCAGGAATTTGCAATCTCTACCCCAATCATTCTTGGGCCTTCAAAAGCCACCCTTTACCACCAATGGATTTCCCAGATTGGTACATTTTGTCATGGTGGTACCTGCCACCAGAAAAGCAACGTGGTTTTGTGTCCAAATGCTTTTATTTTACCTAGAGAGGTGTCTGGCTTCCACTTAAAGGATTTTGTTTTTGCCCTTTTTCCTGTGTGAGCTTTAAGTGTTTACTTGCCTCCATCAGAAAATCTGATCCTCTTTGTTTCGTCAAAGCCAAATAAAGTCTTCTGTATTACGTTCCACCATTTGCAAGGTGGATTAGCAAGATCACTTATGATGCCTGATCTCTGAAGGGTAAGGAGCTTCCCTTCTGATTAAGGCTTATTCTAATAGATGTTTCTTTTGTTGTGCGTGAGTGAGAGACAGCGACCTGGTTTTCTCTACATGTATATTTTCTAAGCTTTACGAATTGATGTTCAGGCTTCATTTGATGCCAGCTTCGGCCATTACGTTTTGCAGGCTGTCATTTGAACTTGGCGTGGGCTTGTTTATTTGTGTCTCAAATGTTTGAGTTTTTCTTGCCTATGCTCACCTCCATTACTGCTTTGGGATGTCCCATCTTTTATAATTGAAAGACTGTATCTTTTACTGTATAATAAAGAAAAATGGATTTTTTTTTTATGTACCTGCAAAATCCTTTTCTTGGAAAACCGTTCAGGACAGCTTTGCCCGTTTTTTTTGTTTTTTTTTGTCTTTGCTTTCTTAGGAGTGTTAAAATAAACTATAGGCAAAACTGTAATTTTTGTTTGTTTTTTTTTTTTTGTTAGGGAGGTTAACCTTTAGCGCTACACTGTGTGTTATTTTGTTTATTTACTTATTGGGTATAAGGTTAGTGTTAGCAGCTTTTAAGGTCAGGGCTACATTTAAGTGCAGGAGGATCCTCTTTTATATTTAACCTCCCTGGCGTTATTTCCTAGTGTAGCTCGTGGTAAAGTTTCAGCACCACAAGGTAAAGTTTCAGCACCACAAGCGGTAACCCCGAGCTACACTCGGGAATACCCTGCAGCGTTGCTCCGGGATCTCTTCTACACTTACCTTGTCCTGCGCTCCCACGATGTCCCCCCTGCAGTGTCCCTGGCAATGTCCTCCGGCCGATGCCGGCATCTGTCTTCCAGGTTCCGTTCCTTGCGACGTCGGGACGTACGGGGATGGAACTGGCGGGAAATTTGAAAATTTTAAAAGTGACATTCACTAAAATCTCATAGTAAAACATTGCTGTATCAAACCATTTCACACACATTTTATCCCGAGTGCTTTGTCCTGTGCCCTGCCTGCATTTTTACTGTTCTTTCTGCCTGGAAACTTAGAAATGTCCATGGCGTCTAAAAAGCGTCCCTTTAGGTCAAAAGCTGTTTTAGACCAGCTAGAGAACAGCGATAGTAAATTAGAATCAGTTGCAGAATTGAGTGATAATGATTCGTGGGGAAATTCATCATCAGACACTGAAAATGATTTTGCGACTTTGCTCAGTGATGTGCGAACTTGGCGCTCTATTTCAAATTTCAGTGTTTTTGGTTTGATTATATTATTGAATTAAATTTATTATTACATTATTATTTTTTATGATTATTTATTAAATTATAATAATTATGATACCCGGAATGTATACTAGACTCTTGTTTGGACAGATTTCAGTGAGTTATTCCTAAAAATTACAGGCCTACAATAAAAAAAACTACATATTTCCATGCCAAAAATGTACCGCTTTGAGCACAGAAATACTGACATAATCAGACCACTAGGGAGGTTAAGTCCTATCAGTTTGTTTCCATTTGTGTCCCATAGGGGAGATTTCCCTTTTTTCAACTTTTTTCTGTCACATAGCCAAAACAGGAAGTGAGAGGAAATCCCTTTTAATTCCATTCGGCCCTCCAGGTCACCAGAACTAGTGTCCCCATTGGAAGAGTTCCCTTCTGTTACCTTTCTGGGGACAACCCAAAATTTGTCCTGTTTATTGTCATCATTGAAAGTGAAAGTAAAAATAAAATCCCAAATAGAACAGGTGAATCTCGCTAACTGGAGCAAAGACGGCAGTAAAAACCTACTGGGTGTTCTAATCCATCTCCACTCTTTCCAATACTTAAAGCTGTAAAGTATAACACCTTTTTTTGTTTGGCTTTGCCAGTGTACAGTAACCTGATGTTATGATTGACAGCCTCTGTTCTGTAATGTACTCCAAGGTAAGGATTTTAAATGTATGTAAAAAATCTAATATTTTTCTCATGCAGTAGGCATCAAGCATTTAACCTTTGCAGTGTGCAGGGAGCCCCACTACAAAGGACGTTTTTTTCTCCAGTCCCTTGAGTTCAGCTTAAATTTGAACACTGTGAACTGCCACATACAGTTTTTGTCAAACGTGCCTTTTTTTTTTTTTTTTCAAAGAAAGTAATTGTAATATATATTATTCTATAGGATGTAAGCTTACAAAATAATGAATGGTATATTTTTTCTTTGTTACAGGAGTGATGTATTTGGAAAAAGAGTTGGTACCACACCAAGATGTTTTTTATTTTGCAGTTTGTCAGTGTGATCAACAGAAAAAAAAATCATTTTCGTTTTTGTTGCCACGTGACAAATCACCACAATTTTAAAAAGACATAATTTTTCCGTAGTGTAATTGTACAGCAAGACTCCAGAAGAAAGCTGATCAGTCTAATTGTTTAAATTGTGTTCACTTTTAAGAATCTGCTTTTAAGTGTCTGTTGATTGATTGTTTCTGCCATGGATTATGATGCACATTGTGCAGTTTTTTTCTCTTCTATGTTAGTTAATACTTTTAGAGTAAAGATTTTGTTTTGCAAACAATTACAAAGTTTGTAATTGAAAAAGATTGTTAAAAATATATGAACTAGACGTATGGATGATCAATTGAGTCCCTTTTTATTGTGATTTGAATTTTCATGTATTAACAAAAAAAAAAAATCAAAATTAGATGTATGACAATTACATTACAACAAGCATGAAATAGTTCAGTAGGGATGGTGATATATAGAATAGTGAAAGCGGAGCTTTGGTCTGGGGGAAAAAAAAATTAAAAGTTAGAACCTACAAATACTGTAGCTGATGACTTTTAATAAAAGGACAGTTAACTATCAAGGGATCCAGTGCTGTTCTGAACAGGGATGGTTCTTTGCTGGTCTTCGGGTCCCCAGGTCGACCATCTTGAGCACGAGAAGTCGGCTGTGACTTCCTATGACTTCACAGCCAGATCCCCACTGTGCATGTGCAAGTCGCACTGCGCTTTCTGAATGGACCTGCAGCCTCCTGGGATATGTCAGATGTCCCAGAAAGTGCAGTCCTCTGGGAAGGAGGGCAAACTTTTGCTCAGTTTGCCTAGGCAAGTAAAGTGAAAGTTGCAGTGGGTGCTTGTCAGAACTAGGTACCTGCTCCCTAACCCCCCCCAAAACAAACCTTCCAAATATTGGGAGGAGGAAAAGCAGAACTTGCCCTTTTAAAGCGGAGCTTCACCCAAAAAGGGAAGTCCACTTTTGCCAGGGAAAAAAAAATGTAAAAAAACAATAGCGACTCAAGTCATATTGTAATTGAATGTTATTAAAAATTACCTTTGCGTTTTAATCTGCAGCAGTGTACTTGCAATATGGCTACCGGGAGGAATTCTGTACACAGATGATGTACAGAACGCCTCCTGAAACTAATTTCCCAGAGGTCTGCACTAAGATACAAGTGTTTGGCATCTCCTCCAACAAAAATGTCATTTTTGGTGAGATACTCCCAAAGAGAAATCTCATCTACAGGGATGCAGACCTTGCAGGTGCAGCAGCTGATCGATAATAGAATTGCCCCAATACAGATTAACCCTCACATAGACACAGACAAATAGCTATTCAGAATAACAAAAGGTAGGGATCTGCAACAAAATTTGTTTAAAATCCTTGCAATGTGTCCATAGATCACCCAGAGGGGAATTTTTTTTTCCCAACAAAAGTGGAGTTACTCTAAATTTGGAGTTTATTCGTGTAATGTTCACCAATTTTTAATCATAACCAAATAACTTTAATGTCCACATGGCTGTGTTATAAACAGCTCAACTTCTACAAATGTGAATGTCAATTTTAGGGCTATCCTTTTGTTACCAGATAGTACAGTGTTATTGATTACTTTTCACATAAAATTAATAGTAATCAATTTTGAAACTCAATCCTCCTGACTAGCAAATAACCCCGCAATCCATTCCAAACATTTGTTTTACATACAGAGCAAATATTTGCTACATTTGCAATTAAATATGTGAGAACATACCACCACACCATCTTCATAACTTAGGTTGATTTTTGATCTAGAGGAGCACCTTAATTTAAATTTGACCTATAGCCATATTAGTGTATAATATACCCATTTGCTATGTGTTAAACTGCATTTAAGGCTCCATATGCTCATAGGAACTTCAGCAGTACCATCTTGTGGATAGTCTGTCACTTACCACATTGTCACTACAAATAAGAGCAACAACATTGCTAATATTACCCCCCCCCCCCCCCACATGGAGAGACCATAACACTGACAAACACCCCCCTCCCCCACTATAAGAGCCTGATATTGACCAACAACACCTCACCTGAGAGAGCCTTCCACTACCATCACCCCCATGCACTGGCAACCCCCCACCCACCCCAGTGAGAAAGAAGACACTCACCTACACAGCGCCGGACATCCCTGGGAACAAGAGTCAGGCTCTGCATACACCATCAGGCAGCCCTCAGCCTCTCTCAGATCCTACCTGATGCCCATGCTGTGTGTGTCCTTTCCTCCATCCCTTCTTTTGGGGGGTGGCGCTGCCCCCCTGAAAAATGCCACCCTAGGCAAATGCCTTGTAAATATGCCCCTGGTCCTATTGCAAAATTGGGTATAAGTGTGGAGAAGGAGAGAGTATGTGAGTGAACTTAATGCGGAGTTCCAGTTAAATAAAGTCTGCAGCTACAAAATCTGTAGCTGCTGACTTTTAAAATACAGACCCTCACCTGTCCCTTGGTCCAGCGGTGCCCTCACCATAGCTAGTTTCACCAGCTGTCTGCTCTTCCTGACACCTGCATCTTTAATGTGGGTACCCGGCTGTGACAGCTTTCGGCTTCACATCTGAGTGCCCACTGTGCTTTGTGAATGATCCTGTGGCCTTCTGGGACCTGTCACGTGTCCCACAAGACTAGGGGGAGGATAACTTTCTCTTCCGGTCACCTTAGGCGATTGCACCTGAAGTGAGATCGGGTATCTGTCAAATTTGGGTACCAGCTCCCTAAAGGTGGCAATCCTTAATGGAGGAGAAAGTCTTAAAAGCGGAACTTCCCCTTTTGGGTGGAACTTCACTTTAAACCAAGCATCCCAAATGCTAAAATTCCTCTGTTAAGTGAGCTTCCCTCTCTCTCCAAAAGGGAATTACCAGTAGACTTCCAATGATTTTGGGTCTGTGGCAAGAGAGAAATACATTTTTGAGCCATTAATTTACAGGCTATGAAGAGCAATCTGGTAATATGTTATGGAGTCAATTCAGCTCAACATTATTAGGTAGGATACCAAGAATCCCTATTTATTTCAGGTACCTATTTAGCACCGTCAATTTACACAGCGCTATACATATATATTGTACATTCACATCAGTCCCTAACCCTCAAGGGGTGTACAATCTAAGGTCACTAACTTACATTCATACATACACATACTAGGGCCAATTTAGACAGGATCCAATTAACCTTCCAGCATGTTGGAGTGTGGAAGGAAACTGGAGTACCTGGAGGAAGCCCATGCAGGCACAGGGAGAACATGCAAACTTCAGGCAGGTGGTGCCGTGGCTGGGATTTGAACCAACTGCCGGGTGGAAGTGCTGACCATTTATTTATGGATCTATCTATGGAAGTAACATGAAAATGTCATGAATGGATTTAAACTGTTTATTCTCAGTATCTAGAGAGCTTTGGATGTTTCTACAACATGTGAATAAGAGTCCCACAGCTATGCTTCATCTAGTACATTCAGGGGAAGAGATGTGCCCCCAGCTTTTAATCTCTTCTTAGATGGATGGTAGACCGTATAGACTAACAGTTGAGTGAGTTTTGTGTTGGAGACAAGGTAGTGAGAGGTATGGGTTCAAGAGCTGCAGCCCATTCCATAGCTGTGAGGATATCTACATTTTCTTGCCATTTTGCTTCACTATTTTCTGTTGGTTGGACTTGGTGGAGAAAAGGGTGCTATCCTGATCGGGGATGGATGAGATCAAGAGTAGGAAAC